GGGGGGGGGGGGGGGGGGTGAGCGTGGAGCGTGGTTGGTAGTATTCTCCGTTACTTCAAACAATCCAGTATCATCATATATCAAGCCCATTGAAATTGCCATCTCCAGAAAAAAAAATACACAATGAGGGACGATGGGAACTGTTTGGTGAGAGAACAAGCGCTGGTTCGGGTGGATTTTGTAACGTTGCCGTTGAATCCGTTGGCTGTGCTTTGTTGTTCCGCTCCGACTTGGTTTGATTGAGTGTTGCACCGAGATGGGGGGGGGGGGTCTCTGGGGACGGTTCGCAACGGGGCAAAACTCTGCTCGGCGTCCAAGGTGGAAGAACATAACGAATGGACACAACTACTTCAATGTCTGCAGTTCTATCGTCATTGTGTGTATGTTTATATTGTCATGCGAACACTTTTAGAATCGACCGCCGCAACCGGCTGAACCCATTGAGCAGACGCCAGTCTAGTGTGGCTAACGTGGATGTCGCTACGATGTGTGGGTGCAAAAGGGGTCATACAGCAGCTGTACAACACGTAGGAGACAATGAGAAGCTCGTTGGCGTGAGAACTGCAGCAGCAGCAAATGCAGTGCAGTGCACACATGGCGACATCTATTTTAGGTGCTTTGCAGCTCTACACACGCGGTCAACAGCCGGAAGCCAACAGCCAACTGGCAGGCTTGCAGGCAGGCAGACAGGCAGGCCGAGGCAAGTCACACAATCCCCACGACAAGGAAGGTGCCCCACCAATCAACGCCAGCACGGCAGCGGCCGTGAGGCGACCGGGATTATCTTTTTCTGCCGCGCCAGGCGACGCTGCTTGATGAACTAACTACTCGTGCTCGACGAGCTCAAGAGCGAAGGGGCAAATATCATGTTTATGGTGGCATCATGCACATGCAGGAAAAACGTGCATGTATGTGTAAGGCCGGTCTGCACTCTTTTCTAACTGGATCAAGGAGGCCAACACTGCTTGCTCCTGGATGTGAATGTAGTATGCATATATTGCCGTGTGCCTTGGGCACATCAACATCGTGCACGTAAGGCTAGAATACAGCCCGTCGCTGGCGTGCCTCTGGACTGCGTCGTTGTTCTTGTGTGTGCGGTCCCACAACCGCACCAGTCCGTTGTGTGCTGTCCAACGCATAGTCTCTCGCTTTCTCCGGCCGTTGAAGGCTTCGACGTCAAATTTTCAAATTCAAAATCTCAAGGCGTTGGGAATGTCCGTCTTCGAGGTTAAAAAACTGCATCTGACAGCCGACTGGGCCCATGCGACACCAACAGATGAGCAAGCCATCACAGCTACATGCAACCTGGGCCAATGGGCAGGGCGGAGGTCAAGCTACACACGGTTGGGTCAAGGTGATACAGAAGTCGGTTACAGCACATCGTACCACAACCAACTGCTGCTGATGCCCATGGTTTGCACAACAGCAACAGGAGCCGTGGGCCTTCGTCGTGGCGGTGGTGGAACCGTGGCCCCAGCGGTGGCGGAAAGCACCCGGCCTTTGCCTTGGTAGGGCACAAAACCATCCTCCAACAACGAACTCGTCACGCAACACTTGCACTGGCGGCTGTATATTATATACAATATTCAAGCCGGCAGAGGGAAATCGTAAAATCGTAGAAACACTCAACGAATGGAAGCCGCCTTAACTGTCTTGCTTCCCGAGCTCCGCTTCTTTGGCTTCATGTCCTTCTCTTTGGGAAGGGAGTGGGGGTTACCACACACCGCCCTTGAACTCCTCCAGCAAATACGTGGTGTCGACGATTACAACTTAGAACGGCTGCTGTGCTGCTGCACACCGAAGCGAGTCTCTGGCGGTGTCGGCCCGTAGGCATTTTTTTTTTTTTATCAAGAGGGTAAAACGGCTCTTGTCATTTTTCTCCATCACGAACACGGCATTCTGCGCGAGACTTGCAGGTGGTTGCAGGTTCTTGTAGGCCCCCTTGTCATTGCGCTTGATGGAAGGGCTCTTTATACGTCACATTCATGTTCCGTAGTCATTGGCGCGAGACGTGTTGATTGAACACCTAATTACGATGTGTACTGTCTACGTACTCGTATGTTGATGGTACAAACTCTGATTTCTAATATCGACAGCAGTCACCCAGAATCGTTTTCTACACCCTGGGAACAGCAGTGTTACCCATTTCCCCACACATTAATTACATGGCCATCACCGAAATGCAGAGAAGGCACAAATACCCTACAGTAGCTCTGTCGGCCATATACCTACTAGATCTCACGTTTTTGTATCTGTCGCGTAAAATAGTCATTGATGAACATAAACATGCGGGGTAGCAGAAGCACAAGGAAAAGCTACTGCTGTACAGCAGTAGTGTAGACACAGAGAGTCCAAACCGAAAACCTCAGCTGAATATTGTAGACTATACAGTAGCTGGGCAACGGACAAGCCTGTAAAATCGCCGACAAGGTCGCCTTCAACGGTACCGCACACACAATACTGTACGAAAACCTGAAAAAATAAATGACCCCAACATCATGACAACGGTGTTCTGCAACAACGATGACGATGGGCCCACCTCGACATTCCGCGAGCATGCAATCGATCCATTTGTAGCGAAGCATCGCCACAACGCGGCGGTTTCCCCATCGGAATCTACGTAGTATACACATCTAAGGGAAGGCCTTCGCGCAAAACAGCTTCCTCAAAAAACACCGCACGGAGGTGAATGCCTTCGCCTCTCCTGGACCAAGAAACCGATTGTACCCGCCGCAAACCCTACTTATCAGCCAACCCACCCCACGTCGTAAAAGCATCGCACACGTCCTTCTCGAATACCATTCTGTTATGAAATAAAGGGACAAGGGTGGTATTCGCGCTTGTATAGGAATGTTCCTTACATATTCGAAAAGAGATGGCACGCACGCAGGCCCTTTCCAGCGCGCTCGAGAAACAAAGCCTGAGACGCAAAACTAAAACAACAGCAGCTCGTGTGCGCCTCCTCCTCCTCCTCCCTCAGCCCGCCCAACCACGCGAGACAGCATTGCTTGAAGCCGGCCGCCGCCGCCCCCCCCCGACGGCACGCCAACGCGGCCGGAGCCGCTGCTCGAATCAGCGCGAAGCAGAGCCCGGGCAAGCTCCGCGCAGAACGTTCGGCCCAGCAGAGCACGTACGAGGCCACCCCGGGCGGCATTCCGGAGTCCCCGCTCGGCCACCGCCGCCGCCGCGCCGGCGGCGGCGTCCGCGGCAGCGGGGGCGCCGTTGTCGGCTTCAGCGGCGGTGGAGGCGGAGGTGGAAGCGGAAGCGGAAGCGGCAGGCACTCCTCCGGCGAACAAGTCCATCTGGTCTACGATCGCGTCGCAAGCCTCGTCCGCGGGCAAGCCGCAACTATCCACCACCTCCGCCAGGAGCTTGGTCGCGAGGAGACGGAACCGAACGAGTTCCGGGCTCTCCCGCGGCCGCCGCCGCCGCCGGCTGCTGCTGCTTCTGCTCGCTCCCTGCAACCCCCACGCCCCCACCGCCCACTCGGCGCTCTTTCTAACCGCGTGCTTCGCGAGGTTCCGCGCGATCTCCTCCGGCGGCGGTGGCTTTCGCATCCCTTTCCCCTTCGTCACCGGCAAGGCAAAAAAATGCATCGCCCTCTCCGCCGCCGCCGTGCTGCCACCCCCGGTGGCGGCGGCCAGATATTCCACCACCAGTTCCAGGACGATGGCGTGGGCCCCTAACACCTGGTCGCTCGGGGGGTCTCGCCGCTTCGCGGCGGCGGGGGGGTCCGTGAGGATAATGCCCATGAGGTTTTCCAGCCACCCGGGTGCGTCGTCTTCGTCCGGCGGGGACCAGACGTTTGGGTCGACGTCCAGCATGGCGCGCAGCTGCATCCGGAGGCACTCGCTCCGGACCCTGCACCTGTAGCGGCGGTGGAGAGAACGGACAACCCAACCGAGGAGCGGGTGGCGGTGAGCGGTGTGTATCGCATAGTCTATATGTTGTTGTTGTTGTTGTTGTTGCTGTTTTCTTGACAATGAAAACCGTTCCGGTCTCTGCTCACCGTACCGTCTAACATCAGTACCGGTCCAATGGAGACGCGGACGCCTTGCGTGGTCACGGGGAAAACTACACCCCCCCCCAAAAGGGTACACAGTACTAAAGACCGAAACAAGTTTAGAGGACACAGCAAAAACATGTGTGCAAGTGGGAAACACGTTAACCGGAGGGAAGCGAAGCTGGGGGGTTGACGGAAGGGTTGGGTGGGGTATTGTCTTCACAAACATGCACGTATGGCGTATGTATTGTGAATCGTACTCGTTTTATTCCGGTGTGACGCCTTCACAAACACGCACATCTGGCGCAAGTTCCATCGATAGATTTTCCCCCGATGCCATGCGGACGTTCAACAGTCGACGAACACACCCACCACGACCACGTTTTGAAACCGCACGAAACCAAGAGAAAAACAACACAAAACAAATCAGAAAACAAATCTAACAAAGCCCGCGGAAACACGAACGGCCTCGGCCCACTATTTATCACCTGGACTCCAGCAGCGAAGACACGATGGTGCCGCAGAGGCTGCTGGGAGGAGCCGTTCCTAACGCTAGGAACTCCTTGACGACCGCCACCGTGGTCTCGGGAGCGCACTTCACAAACGTGTTGAGCGTCAGCCGAACGTGATCGTCCATACGCGTCAGGGCTCGAGCTTCCGTGGGATTCGATTGCTCCGCCGGAGGCGACGCCGCCGCCGCCGCTGCTGTGCAGCCGTCGTCAACACGCGTATCCTCGTGAACTGAAGAGGCATCGCTTGGTCTTTTCTCGAGGGAAGCCTCCTCGTCCTTGCCCTCCGAAGTGTGCCGAGACGCCGTGGTGCGTAGGGACGCCGCTCGTCTTCGCGACAACGGCTCCTGCGACAAAAACAAATCGCTGTTCTCCTTCTCCACCGCCGCCTCCGCCGCTGACGGATTCTTGCCCGTCGACCCTCTCCCCGACGAGATGTCCGCCTCTGCCGTTGTCGCACGATGCGAAAACGGGGGTTTCGACGGTGTCCCACTGGATCCTTCCACCACCACCCCGGCAAGTGGGTCAGTGTTTGCCGGTAGCGGCGCCTTCGTTTGCTTTGGAGAAAGCGGGGACTTTCGTCGGTTCGGAGAACCGCTGCTCCACGGCAGCGGCGTCGGCGTCGGCTTCGGTGGCGGCGTCGGCGATGCTTTGGCGAGCCCCCCCGAGTCGGAGCGACCACGAAGACCTCCGCTCGGCGCGATCGGTCGCGCTCGAGCTCCACCATAACCACCACCTTCACCAGGAGCAGCAGCTGGAGCAGCAGCTGGAGCAGAAGCAGCAGGGGTAGCGACGCCCTCCTCCCCTTCGTCATCGTTGTCGTCGTCGCAGAGATCGATGGGCAGCTCGACGGACTTTCCCGCGTCCACTGGTTGGTCGTCCAAGTCGCAGAGGTCGACCACGCCGAAGGGGACGAAGGGCGTGCTTCCCGTCCTGCGGCGCTCGTCCCCCCCACGGCCGGGGTTGCTGGGTGTGGCTGTCGGAGCCACGGCTGTTGTCACCGCTGCGTTCTCATCGCGGATATCGTCGTCGTCGTCCGGTATTGCGATGGCGAACATGTCTGACGGCACGACCTGGACACCCTCGCAACCTCCGCCGCTTCCACTGCCGCTGCCGTTGCCACTGCCGCTACCGCTGCCGCTGCCGCTGTCGCTCCCGCCTCCGCTACCGTTACCGCTACCGCCGCCGCTGCTTCCAACCGGAACCGAGGGTCGAGCCGCCGTCCCCACCGCCGCCCCCGTGCTGTCGCCAAAAAAGTCCTCCAACCGGCGTTTCGTCCCGCAACCGCCGCCACCTCCCGCACCTGACGACGGCTCTCTCGTCGCGGATGGCTTCGACTCTCTCGCGCCTGTTGCTGGCGTCCCAGAACGCGGGGGCGTCGTCGTGACCGAAGAGCGAGAAGAGGCGAGCCGCAGGGTGTACGAGTACTCGCACCGGAAGCCCTTGCCGGCGCCGGCGACGCCGAGGTCGACGGTGTCGCCGACGAGAAGGTACTGCTGGGCCCCCGCCGTCAACCTCGTCGCCCCGCCGCCGCCGCCGTTGCGGATCATTTCGCGAGCGGCGGCGGCCGCCTTCACCGCCGGAGAAGCCGCCCGCTTCCCCCTGGGGGAAGGAGAAGCCCGCGCCGCCGCTGCCGACTTCTTCCCCGAGGGGGAAAGCCGGGCTTTTCTTCGCGGCGACGGCGACGACGGCGACTGGCGCCGGTCGAAGATGCGGACGTCCCTGATGGCCTTGAGCAGGACCGCGTTTCTCGGCGTGCTGGTGGTCTGCAGCAGGACTTGTTTCTCGTAGCTGCTGCCTCCCTGTGAAAATAGTGTGCGTGTGTAGTTATTTTTAGCAACATGGGCTGGAGTAACCGGCACAACATGCCGTGAGCGCTGATATGAAACAACCGGCTGGCCAATAAGGAGACGTCAGTCGCCGTGGCGTTGAAAACAGAAAATGCTTATAAAGGAACATGTGCGTGTGTGTGTGCGTGTAGGCGTAGTCGGCACGACCGCGCTAACCGGCTGGCCGATGAAAAGGCGTCAGTCTTGGGTGTGTGTCTGTGTTTGTTGCCAAGCGGCCCACAGAAGGTGACAAAAGACGTGGAAACGGTGGGTAGGTACCACAATATGTAAGGCTGTCTTTCAGGGCGGTCCTGCAGCGGTACTGGTGGCACTTCACGCGGTATACCAGCCGCACCGCGACCACCCTTCGTCACGTTTTTAATACCCTACGAGTCACGACCGCCCTATCGCAGGCTGCCATCATGGCCTCCAGGCCTGCTGCGTCTACCATAGCAGTACAGTTCCCCTGCGGCCAGTACTACCCTGGATTTGTTGTGAAGGAAAAATAAACGCAACCTGAGGCTGACAGTCCAGCGTTGTCGCCGGCGACCACTAGTCTAGGACTGATCTGTACACAGCAATTACAGCGTTCCGTTGTCCGTTGATCTCCATTTTCATAGCACACCGCCGTGTGATTCACCAACGTCCGTCTTCTCCTGTGCTGATATCCATCATCATCCGGTGATACGAAAACATACCACGCACAACATTCCAGTTCACAACACACTTTTGGTACACACGAACGCCATGCGAGCGGTGCCGAAGACCAAATTTTAATCACCGCCACCGGTATCGTACATTCCATCATGGGTTGCTGTCCGAGAAACAGAGCAGGCTTTGCGGCACTCCCATCGCTAACGTAGGTTTTTACTAGGAAACACGCGTATAAACACAGAAACACGCAGGTTGCATCAGATTTCACACCCCCTCCGCCGGTATGCAAGGCTCGATTTCTCGGCAGGAGAAACAGCAGTGACGGCGCCGAGAATGGCGGTGCTGGAACCGTCTCGTCGAAAGCTTTCCGAAAACGTGTCATTTGAACTCGGGATGCTCTTCGTCGTGGAGTAATCGAGCTTTGGAAGTCGGTCCAGGGGTGTGGTGTCTTGTGTCATACGGTGTTTGGATAGCGTGGGTTCTCTCTGCTGTGCAGCGTCCCACCACCAGAAAAACGGCCGTTGCGTTCACAACATCCTCGCACTCAATGGACACACACCTGCGATGTCGAGTCTTGTGAGCCATCCAGCCCGACACCGACAACCCCCGCCGAGGGCTGAGTAGTCTCGACCACGGAGTCTCCGTGAGGCACAGGGAGAGTCTCCGTTGTCATGCTCGCGGCGCGGCCAGCAGATGGGCAAGGCTCGAGGACGAGTGCGGGCTGGCCTTCAGCTGCCGCCCGGGCCGCCCGGACGCGTCGGACGCGACACGTCCCTTCCGACGCGGACCCGCTCATTGAGGCTGTGTCGGTGTGCTGAGTGCACTTCCTGTGCGATCACGACGGACTGCCAACACCACCACCAAACAGCAGACAGGTGGTGCACCGGCCGGAGCAGGTGCACCGGCCGGTAGGCCCTTCCCTATCTATGCGGGCATAACCTTTGGCATAATTGTTAGAGTTGTGAATCGGAACGATGTACACGATATATATCGTCCGATATATATCGATATCGGTATCGAAAATTCGTGCCGATGTTCCGACCGATGTTTTCTTAGGGGCTCCGTGAATCAAATTTAGGGTATGCGCAGCAGTACGGAGCCCCTGTACGCCACACACACACAGCACAGCAGCGCAGAAACAGCAGACAACAGCACCATGTCCAGAACCAACCGGGAAGTAGACACAGGGAGAGACCGAAGGAGGGTACTGCTGAGGATACGCGACAATACATCAATCTTAATCTTTTTTTTTTTTT